CAGCAGAGACAGTGAATTTGAAATAGAAATGTCTTGCTTTGATCAAGCACTTAATATTAAAAAAATAGTCCCAGAGAAGGAACATCATTCCAGGAACCAGGAGAAAGCAGACAAACATAACTTTCATGCATGTAATTAAAAGATATGAACGCTTTGGATGAAATGCATGTGCAAAGACTGATGAAAGTAGGACAGAATAACATTTCTGAAGAACGGTCTAGGCCCGAAACGTTAGCCTTCCTGCTCCTCTGATGCTGCTTGGCCTGCTGTGTTCATCCAGCTCTACACCTTGTTATCTCAGAATAAAATTTAGTTTTGTTCATGAATAACTTTTCTTTGTTGACCATGTACATGTCAAAGACACATCATGCTACAGCAAAGTTAGCATGTCACAGTGAGTTCAGCTATGTTGAGTGTCAAGAGAGAGAAAGGCAAGGCTGGATGGCCCTTACTCTAATGCAAGGAGAGGAATAGGTAAGAATGATGAGATAATGGCATGGATTGACACATGGAAGTATGATAGTGTTGCCATCACAGAAACATGGTTGAGTGAAGGGCTGGCCTGGCAACTCAGCATTCCAGGGTATAGGATCTTTAGGTGAGACAGAGGAGGGTGTAAAAAGGGTGGTGGTGTAGCACTATTAATCAAGAAGTCAATTACTGCAATAATGAGAGATGGTATCTTGGAAGGGTCCTCAAATGAAGCTTTGTCAGTAGAATGTAGGAATGTTAAGGGGGTGGCAACTTTTCTGGGAGTGTATATAGGCCCCAAAGAATCAGGGGGAAATAGAGGAACAAATTTGTAGACAATTCAGAGGGGTTTAAGAGTAATAATCAGGTAATAATATTAGGGGATTTCAACTTTCCCAACAGGGGAGCTTTTTGTATCAATATCAAATCAGGCCCAACTAAGGACAGTGCAGTGCTGGATCTGATTCTGAGGAAAGAAGCCAGGCAAGTGTTTGGTGAGAGTGAGGGTGCCCTAGAGGAGATCCAGGGGGGCACTTAAAGCAATTCAAAGGGTAAAGAGGAGAGCGTGAAAAAGGACTTACGCAGAATCCTAGAACGTTTTCTGAACACGTTAAAGGGAAGAGGTGAAGCAGGTCACAGGTAGAGCCCATTAGGGATCAAAGGGGCAACCCCCCATGGTAGCCGTAGGATATTGGAAGGGTGGTAAATGAATATTTCTCATTGGTCTTCACACTGGAAAAGGAGAACATTGGTACAGAATTCAGGAAAAGGGCTGTGACGAACTTACACAGCTTGACTTAGGAAATTGGGAGGTATTGGAGATTCTGTGGGGCTTAAAAACAAATACCCTAGCCCAGATGGAATGCACCTCAGGCTACCATAGGAGGCAAGGCAGGAAATTGCAGGGGCTCAGACACAAATTTTTAATTTCTCTCTACCACCAGGGAAGCACCAGAGGACTGAAGGATGGCTAATGTGGTTCCACTTTTCATGAAGGGTGGTAGAGATGAATCAGGAAATTACAGATCGATGAGTCTCACATCAGTGGTAGGGAAACTATTGGAGAAAATTCTGAGGGAGTGAATTAATACCTACTTGAGAATGCAGGGCTTAACTAGGGATGGTCAGCATGGCTTTGTCAGAGGGAGGAAGCCTTACAAATTGGTTGGAATTTTTTGAAAATGTGTTTAAGTGTGTGGATGAGGGAAGTTCAGTTGATGAAGTTTATATGGATTTTAGCAAAGATTTTGACAAGGTCCCACCTGGGAGACTGATTGAGAAGGTTAAAGCACATGAAATTGAGGAAAATTTAGCAAGATGGATCAGAAACTGGTTTAGTCATAGGACACAAAGGGTAGTGGTAGAAGGCTGTTTGAATGACTAGAGGCAAGTGTCCAGTGGTGTACAAGGACTAGTATGAGGCCGTTATTTGTTATAAACAAAACGATGTGTGAAAATTTGGCAGGAATGTTAAGTAAATCTGCAGATGACACCAAGATTGGTGGAGTGGCTAATAGTAAAGAAAACGGTTGTAGATTACAGGAAGATATAAATGGATTAGTCAGATGGGCGGATGGCATTTAACCCCAATAAGTGGAAGAAGAAACATGATGAGGGAGTGGCAGGGCACTGGGTAGCTTAGAGGAACAGAGGCATCTTGGTATAATCACTCACTGATCCCCAAATTCATAGTTAAAGTGGCAGGTGGGACATTTGCTTTCATCAGCCATGGCATAGATTATAAGAGCAAGGAGGTAATGTTGAACTTGTACAGAGTGTTGGTTATGCCACAGCTGAAGTACTGTATACAGTTCTGGTCACCTCACTAGAGGAAGGACATGATGGCAATGGAAGGGGTTGGATAGTAGGGGTTGGAGAAATTGAGCTATAAGAGAGAGATAAGATAGACTTGGATTGTTTCAGTAGACAAGACTGAGGGGGGAACAGGGGTTAAGCTGTATAAGATTATGAGGGGTATGGGCAGGGTAAATAGACAGCAGCTGTTCCCCTTGGTTGAGACGTCAGTCGAGAGGGCATAGAATAATCATATATCCCATTGGTCCACACCGACCATCCGAAGAGTATCCAACCCAGACCCAACCCCCTCACCCTATCCCAGAAACTCTGCATGTCCCATGGCTAATCCACCTAACATAGAATCATAGATGACAGAATCCCTACAGTGAGGAAACAGGCCCTTCAGCCCAACAAGTCCACACCGACACTCAGAGCACACACCCAAACCCATCCCATTATAACCCATCGAATGTACAAATCCCTGAACACTATGGGCAATTTAGCATGGCCAATCCACCTAGCCTGCATATCTTTGGACTGTGGGAGGAAACCGGAGCACTCGGAGGAAACCCACGCAGACATACACACTCCTGGACACTATGGACAATTTAGCACAGCCAATCCACCTAACCTACGCATCTTTGGACAGTGGAAGGAAGCCCATGCAGAAACAGGGAGAATGTGCAAATTCCACAGTTGCCCAAGGTTGGAATCGAACCCAGGTCCCCGGCTCTGTGAGGCAGCAGTGCTAACCACTGAGCCAAAGTGCCACCCATGGCATTTTAGGGCAAGGGGCAGGAGATCCACAGGGGATTTGGGAAAACAAACTTGTTCCACTCAGAGGGTGGTGGCAATCTGGAATGTACTGCCTGGGAAACCTTACAACCTTCAAAAATATTTGGAGGAGCATTCCTAATATCATAACATTCAAGGATATGGGCCAAATGCAGGAAATTGAGATTAGGGGACCTTTAGTGGTACTTATTGTCAATACAGAGCAAAAGGGCTGACAGTGTATCATTTGTATCTGCAAATGAATTTGAATAGCAGTGCTTTTTGTTGTCTTATGAAAATAGAACATTTGGAGAAATTCATGTGTATATAGTGTATTAGCAGGCTTGCTATAATCATGACTCTTACATCTGCACTAAGTTACTTTCACTTGTTTGTGGCAGCCATTTAAAACTATTATTTAAATCAAGTAGAATGAGGATTGTATAACTAAAGAACCCTACGGTGCAGAAGCAGGCCATTCAGCCCATTGAGTCCACATCAACACTCCGAAAAGCTTGCCATCTAGACCCACCCTTCTACTCTATCCTTGTAACTCTACATTTCCCATGGCTAACTCACCTAGTCTGCATATCCTTGAGCACGATGGGCAATTTAGCATAGCCAATCCACCTTACCTGCACATCTTTGGACAGTGGGAGGAAACTGGAGCACCCGGAGCAAACCCACACAAATGGGGAAGAAGGTGCAAACTCCATATAGTCGCCAGAGGGTGAAATTGAACCTGGGTCCCTGCCACCGTGTCGCCCCTAACCACTGAGCCTAGGATCAGGAGTGAAATGAGTGAAGTAGCAAAAGAGGTGAGAAAAGACAAATGGAACAGCACAAATAGACAAAAGAAGTTATTTCCCAAATCTCCTTTTAAAACATGAGGTCCATTGTTTTAAAGTCTCTGGGTCATTCTTTGTTGTTTAGCTTACAGTAATAAAGAGTGAGCAGTTAGAAAATTAAATAACTACAAACACTGCTGGTTTGTGTTTTCAAAAGGACCATTACCAACATAGGTTTTTAAAATTTAAAGTTGAATTTACCTTAATGTAGGGAGCATGTGTTCCAATGTTAGCAGCATGATAATATTTCCAGCCTAGGTTGTTGCAATGTTCCAGTGAAACTCAATGCAAATTAAAGGAACAGCACCTCATTTTCCACTTAAGAACTTTACAGTTGAGGACCATCAAGGATTTCAACAATTTCTCAGTATGAACAATATCCTCCAACCCCAAGTCTTTTTTGTGTCTTGTTAGCTTTACTCTCAGCAGAGTTGACCTATTTTTGCAAAATTTGCAAGTATTTCACCATAGACATGGTTAGCCTCTTCCAGCTTTTCTGTTTTATATCTGATTTCCAGCCTTCTGCAGTATTTTGCTTTGAGATAATTTTGAGACGTTGATTGAAAGGTAAGTATTTGCCAAGCCACTGGTGGTTACGCTCCTCTTCGAATAGTGCCATGGGATCTTTTTACATCCACCCAAGGAGGCAAACAGGGCCTCAGTTTAATATATCATCCAGATGCCACTTCTAACAATGAAGCATTCCTAGAGTGCTACACACAGTATTGTCCTGGATTACCCAAGACTCCACAGTGGATCTTTAACTCAAAACTCTGAGCCAAAGTTCATCCAACTGAACTAACAATAACAGATTAATTACGTGGAGAACAATTTAATGTTAAGGAATTGTTTAGATCAAATTAACATCAACATTTACTAGAATAAGGGTCCCGGCATATGCTTTTTAATGCAGCTTCTCTGCACTACTGCAAGGATGGCAAACAGATAAAAATAGCACTGGCAAGACACAACTTGCTAAGAACAATGGAAAAAAAGTATCAAGATGTTGCAGCTACAGAGGGAGAATTACAGAACAAAAGGCAAAGGCATGTAGAGGGAATGGTAAGGAAAATGGTGAAAGGTGCAAGTATGTATTTCACAAGAGACAAGTTAGTGTAGTAGCACATTTATTTTAACATTACAGGCAAGAATAATCTATTCCCATCTCCCATCAATGTGTATCAGAACAAGGAATAGGAGCAGTCCACGTGACCCTCGAGTGTGCTCTGCTGCTCAATGTGATCATCACTGATCTTCTCAACTCCACTTTCCGGCCTCTTCCCCATAATCCATCAATTCCCTAAGACACCAAAAATCTTTCTCAATCTTGTGAAAATAAAATAATAGAACATCCAGAACATCTTTGGGTTAAGGAATTCCAGAGATTCACTGCCATTGGAATGAAGAATTTTCTCAGTTAAAAGATTACTTCCATATCCCGAGATTGTGTCCCCAGTGTTCTAGGTTCCCCAGCCAAGGAAATGATCCTTAAGATCTTTCAAGCCCTTTTGGAATTTTTTATGTTTCAATTCTTCTAAACTGTGCAGTCCATAAGACAAAATTACTCAGACCCTCAACAACCTTCTCATCCGAGGAGCCAAGCTAGTGAACCTTTGGTGAGGATTGAAACTATTTGGCCTAATTAACACAAATAAGACCTGCAGAATTCCAAACAGTTTTGGGTTTGCACGTGTAGAGCCAAACTAAAATTGATATCTCAAAGACAATGCTTGTAGAAATGTCATTATGTAAGGTTATTTCCTTTACCCAAGAAGAGTTCTAATTGCTCAGCAAGAACAATTTGCAAATGATAAAGCAGTAATATTCAAGTTCTGCTTGCACTAGAGTTCTGTCACTTAAACCAGTGATCATAAATTATATGATATGCAATGCTAAATAAATTTAGCTGATATTTAAACAGAACATTTCTGTATGAACCACCTTTGTTTAAAGTTATAAAATTACTCAACATTGAAAGAGACTTGGTTCTCATGGCTTTTCCATTTATTCCATATTTTTTCAGCATGATAAATCATGAATGTAGAGAGTTTTTACACATTGGAGTCATGTTTAAAACATTAGTACAGACCCTGTACATTACACATTTTTCAATAAACACGATTGGTTACGACCAGTGACTATTTAAAATTCTATGTATCAAACACAGGTAAATAGGTGAAATGATACAAACTCTTTTGCACTATTAATATACAGTTGTAAACAAGGTCTTTCAGAAATATTGACACCAATGCAGTTTACCACACAGCACTTCACAAATGAGTTTTTTTTTGTTTTTAAATAATTAATTTGTTTCATAAATATAGATCCAGATTATTGCAGCACATAAATTCAATACCTGATTGGCAAAAAAAAAGTACATCAATACATGTTTTTAAAGGAAACAGCAGCAGACAGATCACAGGACTGCACCTAATTGAGGACTGAGTAAGCAAACACCAGTTAACCCAGACTTAAAGAAGATTAAGGGACAAGCAGGCATCTGTCCATTACTACTGTAACCCATATTCTACAAGCCAAAGTGGCTTGAGAAAATTGTATTAGTATCTATTTGAATTCAAGCAGATTGCAGTCAATCTTGTAATACACATATGGATAGTATTCCTGTTGACTTAGACCTGGTATGTCCATGGCAGCCTGCAAAGAGAGTTGAAAACTACTTAGTATTTGCATTATTACAGCAAATTTTAACTTTTAAAAAGCTCTGTTCAATTTCAGATGATGTCACTGGCGCAAGAATATATACGTCTTTGAATCTGCAGTTTACAGAAGATAAACTTCAGAGTCACCACATATTTTGAATACTTTATTCAAGTTTCAATTAGCTACATGGAATACTGCTCCAAAGGCAATATAAAATGAGTATCATAATCAAACAAAGCAATTCTCATGTTCATTGTTCAAATCTCTATTACACAACAAATGTTCATACTTCAAACAACTTCCAGAAGGAGAGCATCTCTACTTGTTGAAATTTTGTGCAAGAGTTGCAAGGAAGTGTTGCACCATTGAATTATTGCTCTGATCAATACATATCTGTTCTTCATGCGATGTGGAAACCATCTCTAAATATTTTTTCCTGAAAGATAGTGCTGGGTGGCTAGCAGCAGGGAGAGAATGAGTTTAAAAGAGAGAGTATGTCTGAGGATTCGAAAGGAATTTCCAAAGAAATTTGCAAAACGTAAATTATAACTGCATCTGCCTTGTGCTGGTTTCAACATTCCATAGATGTCTAAATTTGGGAGTTGGGGACAGAAAGATTCAGGGAGGGGTAGAAGAGTCTGTTAACAGTGAGAGACTGTGAACAGTTAATGTTTGTAATATCAAGCTCAGATACTTGTGCTGTAGGGCCTATTATTTTTTCTGTTAGAACAAGCTGCAAAATTATTGCAAAACTAATCAGTTCTGAGGGTCACCGGACCCAAAACGTTAACTCTGGTTTCTCCTTCACAGTTGCTGCCAGACCTGCTGAGCTTTTCCAGCAACTTTGTTTTTGTTCCTGCAAAACTATTGTGCAGTCAAATATTTTAAAATAAAACTATTGATTGGCTTATGGGTGGCTTCATCTCACTGCTATAATCATTGATGAACCATTCAGAAGACAGAATCATAGTGCGAAAGCAGGCCATTTGGCCCATCGGGTCAGCACCAACCCTCTGAAGAGTATCCCACCCAGTCCTACCCCCTACCCTAGCCCTGTAACCTCTCATTTCCCATGGCTAATCTACCTAACCTATACATCCCTGGACACTACGGACAATTTAGCATTGTCAATCCACCTAACCTGCAAATCTTTGGGCTGTGGGAAGAAACTAGAGCACCCAGAGGAAACTCACACAGACAAGGGGAGAATGTGCAAACTCCACACAGACAGTCGCCCAAGGCTGAAACTGAACCCCGGTCCTTGGTGCTACGAGGCAACAGTGCTAATTACAGCCACCATGTTGCCCCAGTGGGAGAAATATAAACATGGAATCACAGAATCTAATTAAGGATCATAGTTGGAACATCCAGATCACGCGAGCATGTTAGTAGACAAACTCTTCGTTAGGCTTTGTTTAGAACGCTGTGCTCAGTTTTGATCCTATTACACAGTGGTGAAATGCAGGTCCTTAAAAAGTCCAGAAGGAGCCACTAAATTCAAACAGCTTGGAAGGCCTTAATTATCTGAATAGGCTTAGAAATGGATTTTTTTTTACTCTAGAACAGCATTGCCTCGAGAAATTTAAGGTTAAAAATAATAAAGATAAAAATAAAATGCATCCATGCCAATATAGAGCTAAGGCACATTTATATCAAGCATAGCAACAAAGAACTAGGTGCAATATCAGAAGATATTTTCTTTTCACAGTGGGTCATCAAACTGAAGGACAAGTTTCTGGTTCAATGAAGTATCAATGAAATCAGCGCAGCCCAAGAATCAAACTAGAGACATTCTCAGTCTGTATATTACACATCTTCACCCAGATGCACACTTAGAAAATCTAAGTTTGCTACTTCATTGGTAGCAACCACTAATACATCAACCAGAAATAATACAATTGTCCCATGCATATACTTACATCAATGATGGCAGCTGCACTGCTGTCCAAGTGTTTGTACAGATCATTAAGAACCTCTCGAAGCTTCTTCATCATCTTTTTGTTGGGTTGTAAAAGCATTGCTTGGAAGTTCACTGGCAAACCATATCTGGATACAAGAGACAAGACAAAAAAAGTTATAAAAATATTAGCAATCTTTTCTAGACACTATGGGGAAAATGCTGTGTGCCACACACAGACAGACACTTCACAACTTATACATTAAACAAAATATTAGCCAACCCCTTATTTGAAGTTTCAAATAAAAGTCTTCTAAACATTTTAAAACTGTCGTAAAACTGAAGCAAACCCGAAGGGTGTGTATTGAACAGAGAACAGTTTCTCCCAAAGAACTACGAAGTTTCCCATGTGCAACACAGCCATCCATTCTCTGTTGGAAAATTCCTATGCAATCTAAGATTCCTACGTAAAGTACATACACTTGAAATCTTTTCACAACTGCACATCATACATTGTCATATTGTCACACCTATGTCCCAATTTTGTCACTACTGTAAATCACTTAACTACACGCTACAATTTTTAAAATTGGGTATGATGCAGCACTTTCCTTGGTCCTTCCAGCCCTGCTGCCCTTTCTTAGGGCCCATCTTTGAGCATTACCCGGAGTCCGAGTTTCTAGCTGCACTGTAATTAAGATAACAGTAACACAACCTGTAAGTAGTTAATAATATCAAGCTCAGATACTTGAAGTCATTGAACCATACAGCATGGAAACAGATCCTTCTGTCCAACAGTCCTTCAGTACGTACATAATCCCAAACTGAAGTGGTCCTACCTGTCCGGTCCTGGCCCATATCCCTCCAAACCTTTCCTATTCATGTATTTATCCAAATGCCTTTAAACATTGTAATTGTGCCCACATCCACCATTTCCTCAGGAAGCTCATTCCACACGTGATCCGCCCTGTGTAAAAAAATTTGCCCCTCATGTCATTTATAAATATCTCACCTCAAAAATGATTATCCTAGTATTGAAATTCCCTTGCTAGGGAAAAGATAACTACCATTAATCCTATGCATACCCTGCACCCTCTCCAGGATTTTATAAACTTCTCAACCTCCTATGCTCCAGCGAAAAATGTCCCAGCCTATCCAGCCTCTCCTTGTAACTCAGACCTTTCATACTTGGCAACATCCTTGTAAATCTCTACTGAACCCTCTCCAGCTTAATATTATCCTTCTTATAACTGGTCACAGTATTCCAGAAGAGGCCTCACCAATGTCCTGTACAACCTCAACATGACTTCCAAACTCCTATACTCAAAGGACTCAGCAATGAAGGCAAGCATGCTAAACGCCTTTTTAACCACCATGTCTATGTGTGACACAAATTTCAAAGAATTATGTACCTGAACCCCTAGGTCCCTCTGCTCTACAACACTACCCAAGGCCATACCCATTAATTGTATAAGTTCTGCCCCTATCTATTGTACCAAAATGCAATACCTCGCATTCATCCAGATTGAACTCTAGCTGCCATTTTTCAGCCCTTGACCGAGTCGATCAAGTTCCCTTGGTATTCTTAGAAAACCTTTTTCACTGTAACTATGCCACCAATTTTGGTGTCATCCGCAAACTTACTGACCATGCCTTCTATATTCTCATCCAATCATTTATGTAAATGACAAACAAAAGAGGACCCAGAACTGATCCCTGTGGAACACCACTGGTGTTCGGGCCTCCAGTCTGAAAAACAACACTCCATCACCACTTAACGTCTCAAAATCAAGATTTCCTTAAAAATTGTTGAATTATATTGATTAAAAAAAGTGACTGGCTATGAATTAAGGAAGTACACTTGAGAATCGGACCAGACTATAAAAGCTATTTCATCCTGTTTGCAGTGCTAACATTTCCCTAAATTTTTCACCTTGCCAATAAACTGTCAGCTGCCAGTGGAGCTGCTGGCTGTTAGTAGTATATATCAAATGATACTACACATGAAAATTTTGCTATTTGTTCCATAGGCATATCTTTTCAGTGGCAGGGCTCAACTTTTTTGGAACAGTGAAACAAAGTAGTTTATTATACAGGTCTTTCCACATCATGTAAAACTCCACAAAGATCAACTCTTTCTTCCTCATTCTCAGGGCAGCATTTACACTCCACAAGTAATTTCTCACTGTTTGATGATGTACGTGGCTTCCATAGCCAAAAGGTTTGTGTTCCTGCTCTTTTCCTAAATTTGAGTGACTTCAGATCAGTCTACATCAGAATTGATTAAGTGACTGAGAGGTGCAGATTGCTGTTTCCAGATAGGAAGCCATCAGTTGTGATACACGGAATCACAGAATTGTCTCCTTCTCTGCTGCATTCGTTGAGTCCAATGAGTCCATGCCAGCTCTCTGCAAGAGCCAATTCTTTTCTCCATATATTCGACAAAGTCTCTCTTCGGGTGCTTATCTTTTCAAAAGCCATGACTGAATCTGTTTCCAACACATTCTCAAGTAGTGCATTCCACTTCTTTACAAGACCACCTAGTGTAGCAAGTCTCCATTAAGTTGACTGACATTTAACTATGTTGAGACTTTAAATTAGTACATATATTTTTAAAAGACAGTGACTTGAAATACATACAAAAAACCTCAGGATTTAGGAGACACTTTTCCTGAGGTCTGATGGCTTTTTTCTCCTGCACTATTACATTGCTTCAGCACATTGCTTTCATGACAAGTTCAACCATGAACAAGTATTTGGAAGGTGTTTGGGCAGGCTAAGATTAGTCAGACCTAATTTTTGTGGTAGTCACTTTTCACATTCAGAAACTAGATAGAAGTACTCCTAGTTTAGTAAAATTAGTCACATAAAAATATCCTTTTATAAGAATAATCCTGAATGTGTCGCCCTCCATGGGTTGAAACATTATAATTGGAGCTTGATTAACTTCAAGATCCAACCTGTTGCACTATCTACATAACATTCATGTGTTCTTTCAAAGTTAAGGGTAATGCTAAAGTAAATATTAAGCTTCTTTTACGTTTGCAAAGAAATGTTCAAGTATATTATAGCTAGAATACTTCAGCCTTAAAATAACAACTTCATATTTACTGATGCTTGACATTAAATCAATGTTGCTTTTCCATACAGATATTTTCATCCTCAGTCTAAACAAATACAATATCCCAGGAGTCCCATAGCATCACCATGCAATTATGAATCATACTCGAGCATCTTTTGACTGATAGCAACCCATCATTTTCAATCTCAGAACTGAAACCGAAAGATTTTATTCCACTAAAAGTACACCGTGAATCAATTACTTACCACGGAAAACAAAACATAAAGACAAAAACAGAAGTTCAGCAGGTCTGGCAGCATCTGTGAAGAGAAATCAGTGTGCATGTTTTCGTTGCAGTAACCCTTCCTCAGAAACTTCCCCAAGGGTGGGTCACCAGACCCAAAATGTGAACTCTGATTTCTCTTCACAGATGCTGTCAGAGCTGCTGAGTTTTTCCGGCAACTTCTGTTTTACAGCATCCACAGTTCCTTCAGTTTTTATTTAAAATATAAAGACACTTGACCTTTTGTCCATATGCAAATCTAAGTCCCCTTTTTTAAAGTGTAAATAGATGCTCATCTACAATTCATTGTGACCATTATAGCCAAGAACAGATTTCAGCGAGTAACTTGAGGAAATCCTAACCATTTAGAAGAAGGGAATTTACATAGTCTAAAGTTTTATTTTTGGCTCAATCTAATCAACCAACTGAAAAAAGATCAAAAGTCAGCCCAAGTTAAAGTTGAAGGGATAGAATTTGCTATGCAATTTTATTTTAATACCTTAAGTTATTAAAAGCATTAACCCAGAAAATCATTTCTTAGCTAAAGTTATCATGAGTTTTCAACCCAAACAACGCAGATTTCTTGTAATTACATGTCTGAACTACCCTTGTAGTTTCATTGCTTTAACGGAACAAACGTTGGTAAAGAGATCAAAACCCAATGACGTCAGTTGCCCATCGCAGATTGCACTCAATTGTGTGGCTGGATAACTGAATTTGGAAGAAGTTAATCACTCAGGAACTGCAGTGAACAGCTCAAATTTTTTTTTAAAAAAACTGCACCTACTTCTTTGCTCATCTAGAAAATGGACTAAAATGCCTCCTACAGATTACATGATTTGCAAAAAGCTCTAGCAACTTCCAGCAGTATAATTATAAGCACAAAGCTAACCATCATCCTTGTAGAATTTCATATCCACCACTCACATTGCACAAAACAGGAGAATAAAAAACATAGGCCTTTAGTCTTTGACAACAAATAAGCCCAATCAATACTCATTATGAGTGCAGAAATGCTAACAGCCCTACCTATTTCTAATAGTCAGAGGCATAGAAACTTGCCTCATTTACCTAAATGACTTATCCATAGAAAACAGCATATGGCCAAAAACTATTGATTTTTGAGTGTTTCAATTTTGCACATTTCAGAAACATTAATATGCTTCCAACATTCAGACGTTCTGCAATACCATCCAGCAGAATGCAGGACTCCAGGTTGATAGCTAAGCCTGTCTCAAGTCAGAGTTTCCTTGAAACATAATTTCAGAAGACCACCTCTAAAGCAGGCAAACTTCCTTCATACTAATAACATCCTAGTGTGACGTTGTCAACTTTATAGGAGATCTGCAAAATTTGGATAGATCTGAATCTCCGAGAGAAGGAACCCTTCACTGGAATCTAATTCATGTGACTTAAGTTCTACACCATTGGTTTTTAATTTATTTCTAGTTGTAAAATTCTTCTGTTTCCTGTTTCTCTCTCAAGTTCGAGTGTGAAGTTACGCAGACCACCCTCAGCTTGAACAGGAATAATAAATATTCCAGATTTAAACTGAAGAGTTTGTTGCAATTTATATTAAAATTGACTTCACAAATTGGATTCGGAAGACATTAGTTTGCTTTTGAACAAGCCGTAATCTGTTTATGAACAGACAGGTGGAGAATAAGAAAGACTTCACTCTGCTTCTCTCCTACGTCTCCAACAAGATACAGGAAGGTCAATTTTTGGATATGGAGACCAAAGTCCAAACATATTTGTTCATCTGTTTTCCCACTGAATGCAAGATTTGAACTCCATTATAAACAATTTTAAACTTCAAAAATTCTAAGAGATGTAGATTAATTAGATCATTATCCAGCCATATCTAAATCAGGTTCATATTTCTTTTGTTCATTAAAATCATACATTAAGTTATTGAAGAATCTTACGATTGACATTTTGAACATTTCTTACACTCTATGGTTGCTTGGATCCTCACAAGTTGAGATGTGGGTAGAATTATATCATGAAATTTGAAGCAACACTGGAGGAATTTAGCAGCTCTGGCAATATCAGTTAGAAAACATGAGTCATTTGATGTTGCATGAACACTTTCTCAGAAAGGAGTCGACTTTAGGATGGAAAGATGTAAGCCCACTTTACAGGATTCCAGACCCTCAAAAAGATGTATTTAAATAACAAAAACAGCATGTACTTCAGAGTCTGTAGTGCAGGAATGGTGCATTGGTTAGTAATTTCAACACTTAAATCGATTTTACCCTTCATTTAATATTCTGCCCAGCACTTCCCTGCTCCTTGTTTCATGCATTTTTTTAAAACTTGATGTAGCCTTTAAACAATTTCTTGATGTAAGCTACTCTGCAGTTTAGCCTTTGAGCTGGAAACATATTTCTTCAATAAAGGTAGAACAAAAATCCAGAGTTCCCTGGATAACAAAGGAGATAGAAATTAATATTAAGAAGAAAAAGAAAATGTGCTTAGGACAGTGTAAAGCAGAAAATATAATTTAGAACCATGAGAGGTTTAGAAGGGAGGTGAAAAAACAAATGAGATGCAGAGAGGAATTATGAGAAAAGACAAGCAGCTAAAACAAAGTCTTCTACAGGCATATAAATAATAAGAGTGGTTAGATGAGGAGTAGGGCCTAATAGAGGTCAAAAAGGTGACTTACACATGGAGGCAGGGGGCGTGTTAAATGAACACTTTGCGTCTGTCTTTACAAAAGAAGAATCTGCTCCCCAGGCTATAGCAACAGAGGAGTTGGCTCTGTCATTAGAAAGGAGAAGTCTTGGATAGACTATTGGTATTTAAAGTAGTCGAGGCACTGGGAGCAAATGAGATGCAAAGAAGTTTGAAGGAAGTGAGAGTAGAAATTGAAGGGGTAATGTTCTTTCAGGGTTCGCTGGACTCAGCAAGGTACCAGAAGACTGGAGAATTGCAAATATTATGGCCTTATTCCAGAAAAGTTGGAAGGATATTCCTAGCCTTTCTAATTTAACTATAGTGGCAGGGAAGCTACTAGAAATAATTATTTAAGATAGAATTATTAGCCACAGTGAAAAAGGTGGGTTAATTAGGAAGAGTCAGCATGGAATTCTAAAGGGAAACTGTATTCAACTAACTTGGAGTTTTTTGAAGATGCAACAGAAAGGCTTGATGAGGGCAACGCTGTTGATGTGGTGTGCACTGACTTTGAGAAAGTGTTTGATACAAGATCACACAACAGACTTGTCAGGAAAGGTCCAGGTCACGGAATAAAAGGGTCAGTAGCAACATGGACTCAAAATGAACTGAGTGATAGGAAACAGAGAGTAATGTTCAATGGATACTTTTCAGGGTGGAGGAAGGTTTGTCGAGGAGTTCCCAGGGGTCGGTATTAGAACCCTTGCTTTTTCCCGATATGTATTAATGATCTGAATCTTAGTGCACAGGAAACAATTTCAAAGTTCACAGATAACACGAAACTTGGAAACTGGCAGGAAGACAGTGTAGAACTCCAAAACAACTTTGTTAAATTGGTAGAATAAGACCATAAGACCATAAGACATAACAGCAGAAGTTAGGCCATTCAGCCCATCGAGTCTGCTCCACCATTTAATCATGGCTTATAAGTTTCTCAACCACATTCTCCTGCTTCCTCCCTGTAACCCTTGATCCCCTTGACAATCAAGAACCTATCTATCTCTGTCTTAAATACACTCATTGATCTGGTCTCCACAGCCTTCTGTGGCAGTGAATTCCATAGATTTACCATTCTCCGGCGGAAGACGTTTCTCCTTATCTTAGATCTAAAACCTCTTCCCTTTACTCTAAGGCTGTGCCCTTGGGTGCTAATCTCTCCTATTAGTATAACCATCTTCCCAACATCCAATCTGTCCAGATCATTCAGTATTCTGTAAGTTTCAATAGATTTCCCTTCATCCTTCTAAACTCCATTGAGCACAGACCCAGAGTTCTCAAACGTTCCTCATACGTTAAGCTTTTCATTCCTGAGACCATTCTTGTGAACCTCCTCTGAACCTGCCACAAGGCCAGCACATCTTTCCTGCCACAAGGCCAGCCCAAAACTGCACACAACACTTCAAATGTGGCCTTACCAGAGCCTTGTAGAGCCTCAGAAGTACATCCCTGCTTTTACATTCAAATCCTCTCAAAATAAATGCCAAACCTAACCACTGACTCAACATGCAAGTTTAACTTGAGAGAATCCTGGACTAGAACTCCCAAGTCTCTTTGCACTTCAGACTTCCGAATTTTCTGTCCATTTAGAAAATAGTCCATACCTCTATTCTTCTTACCAAAGTGCATGACCTCTCACTTTCCCATATTGTACTCCATCTGCCACTTCTTTGCCCACACCCTAACCTGTCCAAATCCTTCTGCAGCCTCCCCGCCTCCTCAATAGTACTTGTCCCTCTACCTATCTTTGTATTGTCTGCAAACTTAGCCAAAATGTCCTCAGTTCCTTCATCTAGATCATTAATGTATAAAGTAAAAAATTGTGGTCCCAACACTGACCCTTGTGGAATACCACTAGTCACTGGCTGCCATCCTGAGAAAGACCCTTTTAAACCCACTCTCTGCTTTTTGCCAGACAGCCAATCTTCTATCCATGCTGGTACCTTGCCTCTGACATCATGGGCCATTATCTTACTCAGCAGCTTTCTGTGCGGTACCTTGTAAAAGGCCTTCTTAAGTGCAGGTAGGTAACATCCATCGGCTCTCCTTCGTCTAACCTGCTCGTTACTTCCTCAAAGAATTATAATAGATTTGTCAAGCATGACCTCCCCTTGATGAAGCCACGCTGGCTTTGCCCTACTTTACCATGTACTTCCAAGTATTCAGAAATCTCATCCTTCACAGTGGACTCTAAAATCTTACCCACGACTGAGGATAGGCTAATCGGCCATTTGCCTTACTCCCTTTTTAAACAGGGGTTAAACAGGAATGGGCGGGTAGCTGGCGGATGAGGTGAAATGCAGAGAAGTGAGAGGTACTGCACTTTGGTAGGGGGAACATTGTAAAACAATATAAAATAGGGACTACAATATAATTCTAAAGGGGTTGCAGAAGTGATTTACAAGAATTTGCCCCAGGAATTAGACACTTCAGTTAGGAAGATAGACTGATAATGATGAATATGTTCCCCTTGGAGAGAAGGCAGCTGAGAGGAGATCTGATTAAGGGGTCAAAATCATGTGCAGACCGGAGTAAATAGAGTAGACAGTGAATGGAGAGAAGCCATTTCCAGTTTTAAAAGGAACACGAATGAGAGGGTATTGACTTAAAGTGATGTGCAAAAGTAGTGAGGGTGATGTGAGAAAAAACTCTTACACAGCAAGTAGTTGGGTACAAAATGCAATGCCTGAAAGTATGGTGGAAGCAGGTTCAATTGAGGTATTCAAAAGGCATTGGATGATTTTTGAATAGAAATGATGTGCAACAGTATGGGGAAATAAAGTAAGACATTAGCACGAGGTAATAATGCTTATTTGAACAGCCAGTGCGAGCAGCATGTGCTGAATGGCCTCCTCCTGCGCCATAACAATTCTGACATATTCTTAAAATGTGGAAATCAAAATTTCATCTCTGAAGTTGAATTTCTGACTGAAGAGCCAATTTACCTCTATTAAGGTACCAACTGAGAGAACAGGCTTCTGAACAGTAGAGAGATAACCAAATCTAAACATTACAAACACAATTTAGAAGTACAAATATTACGCAATAAACATTAAAAGAATCAAACGTAAATTAAAACTACAAAACGTATTGCAGCAATATTTGCGATTACATTATGAAATTTCAAACTGGTGAATTAACTAATACGCCATACCTTAGAACTGATTCTACGAAAACCCGTAATGCTTTCACATGAATCCATGCAATGAAAGCTTCACTGAAGTTAACTTTCAACCATCGGACCAAGGGACCCTGTAAACAAATAGTTTATACTTGAAACAAAGATTAATTCATTGCACAGCAGGGACATGGAGAGTGGAAATGTAATCGCTGTGAACCATAAGAAGGCTCTACCAAAGTACACCAAGTTATAGTGCATTCTGCACAAATAGGCTTGAAGGCTCCCTAACATTGGTACAAGAGGATGGCTGCCTAAAAGTGAAGCTTAGCGATTAAGACTTACTTGCAGACAGATTTGTATTGGAGATTTTACAACAAAAAGAACATTGTTGTAGGGCTTAAGATGCAGTGGCAGCATCTTACCTCCTGGCTTCAAGTCCCACCTGCTCCAGAGGTGTGTATTAACATCTCTGAACAAGTTGATTGAAAAAGATCTAAACTAACAGTGTCAGGGCTCGTGGTATAATGGTGGGGTCCCCATTTCTAAGCCAAGGGGGCTAGGTTCAAGTCCCATCTGCTCCATATGTGTAATAACATGCCTGGAAAGACCAATTAAAAACATTTAAAGCAGTTTCATTGGGACCATTGCAGCACAGTGGTGGTGTCTTTACCTTTGAGCCAGGAAACCAGCGTTCAAGTCCCACCTGCTCCAGAGATGTGTTATAACATCTCTGACCAGGCTGTTTGGAAAATATCTAAACATTGTCAATCAAACAGGCACTACCAAGAGCTCAAACGTGGGACATTTTTCTTCATAATTTTATGGGAAATATATTGAAGGCAAAGTATATAATTTCCGGAGTCCTTGGTTTACTTTATTTTTAATTATGGAAACAATTTTTGGAAGGTAGAAAATGGGGGAATATCAGAGATAAATGAAAAATGAAAACAGAATCATATGGAATGACATCAAACCTAACACACAATGTGTGTCTTCTGCAAGCTTAAAATTTTATTTATTGCATCATTTTGTTCAGTTTATGATTTTCATATTGTGATGTACTACAAACATAGTGACCACACAGGTACCGTAAAAAGGGAAACTGAAAGTCAAGCAAAACAAGGAAGAAGGTATGCTGGTCAATACCAGTCAAACTTCCAGTAAACCATGATCCACAACAACTTTTTTTGACTAAATTTCTCTTAAATCCTACTAAATTTTAAGAGTCCATTAATGAACCTGTTTCAAGTCACACATTTGACAGCTGTACAAATACATACTGCCTGCACTCTACTGGATGGCAAACTATTGCTATGTCACTTTGAATCTTTTAAGACAAGTAAATAATGTGAAGCAGTGTCTGCTGACTCCCAGGGGATGGGCAAGGGACAGAGGGGCTGGGACATACTGCCCCCCACTCCGATCTCAACCCTGGACACCCTGCTCTCAGCCTAAGCCCACCATCATCTTGGCTTCCTTCTCAATCTGGCTCCCAGCCCTATTACTTTGGTCCAGGATAGGCCGCCCCCTCTTCTGGGTCCCACAATAGAAGGAACTATTTTTAAATCAGCAAGTGGCTCATATCTAAAATCAATTAGGAGTGTGGGGGAAGGCAGATTAAATCCCTGCTTTCAAAATGGAAGTGCAGAGCTAAAATGAAAGAATAAGTGGGAGTCAGCCACAGTGACCTAATGGATTGGGCACTGGCCTCTTAAGCCAGGGACTGTCAGTTCAAGTCCCACCTTGGTTTAAGCGTCATTCAGTATCATTCAAGGCCAAGGCAGATAGATTTTAGGGGAAGGCAATGACCTAAGGTATTATCGCTGGATTGTTAATCCATAGACCTGGGGAACCAGGTTTGAAACTCAGCATAGATGGTGGAATTTGATTCTAATGATGGCCAAGAATCCATTGCCAATTATCAGAAAAAAAACCATCTGGCTCCCTGTAGGGTAGCAAACTGCCATCCTTACCTGGTACGGTACATATGACTCCAGGTCCACAGCAAAATTGCCCTCTGGGCAAATGGGCAAAAAAATGCTGGCCTAGCCAGCATCACACTCATCCTGTGTTTAAACAAAAAAAAAGGAAATGGGACAAGCTAAGTTACTACTACAGAGAGGTAGCATGGACACACTGGGCTGAAAGGCCTCCTCCTATGATGCAACTTGCATTGTTACCCACAGTTCTAAGAGTAGGGCCATTTGCTAATAGATGTTTAGAGTAGAAATGTCCTGGCAACTTTAAGATACATTGATCTTCAATTTTCATTATCGGATACAGTCGAAAGTGTCACATTGTTTTGGGCAATTTTTTTTTGGGTAGAAGATTCTGCACCAAACTGCACTGAATGACAGCATTCAAGACAGAATGACACCTAGTACAAGGCACACAGAAACATGACTTTTACAGCTGCAGAAAGTTTAGCTTGTAATACATACAAATTGCTTCTTTTTGTCAGTTGAAAGTCGAGTCATCTCTTCTTTATCAGCTTTGAGCTCCTCCTCGTTATACTGGAAATCCCGAACAATGAACCTGAAGTGAGAATAAGAAAACTGAGTGCATTCATATTGAAATGCAAAGTTCTAATGGAAACGGATTAGAAATTCTTACTTGTTCTCCCTGGCCTTCAATCGGAAGTCATCAACTGCCTTCCTGAATAATGTTACAGTGTACAAGCCACTATCCATGTCATCACATATTAACCTTTTAGGAGAGGGGGGAGAAATTTCATTTTTAATAAAAAGGAGTACATATCAAGATTTATTATATCATTGCATTAAAGTAAGGCTGCAGAGTTTTATGCAATTAGAAGTACAAAATGTTTGTTACCCTGCTCACAATTGAACTCACTCTGCAGTTACAACACACCATATGCAAGTTATGGCTGAGATTGACTTAATGTTGATTCCCTGCATGTTAACCATATGCAATAAGCAGAAGCAACAAGTTTTAAATACAAGTCAGTTTTGTTTTAAGTAAATGTTTAAAAAGCAGAATAGATTGCATGCCTACCTAATATATGCAAGTTTCCATCAATGTCTCTCTTCTCATTTTGCCAAGATTGAATCAGAAAATAAATCAGCACAGAAGGAACTATTCAACCAACTGGAATTCCGTTAGATCTTTCTAAAAAAATCCAACTTTCCCCATTTACTCATTCTTTTATCGATTGTTTTTTACCAGCACCTCTCCAATTTGATTTGAAAGCTACTTGAATCTGTTTCCAGCACCTATCAAGTAACGCATTCCAAAAAGAACATTTTTATATTGCCTCTGACTTTTTAAACAATTACCTCAAACCTACATACTCTGGCTAGCAACCCTTTGGCCAATGGAAATAGTTTCTCTTTACTTACTAGATTTAAACACGTTATGATTTTAAAAGACACTATCAAATGGTCTCTTGATCTGCTTTGTTTCAAGGGAAACAGTCCAGTTGGGCTGGTGGTATTGTCAGTGGACTTGTCATCTACAGCCTCAAGCTAAATGTTTGGTAAACGTGGAATGTGTACTCAAATTCTGGGAAGAACATCTTTCCTATTGGTAACCATTGTTGATTGCTGTAAAAATCCATCTGGTTCATGAATGATCTTTAGGTACAGAGATCTGCCATCCTCATCTACTCTGGCCCACGTGACTCCAGACGCACAGCAATATGGCTGACTCTTACTCCCCTCTGAAATGACTGAGCAGTTGCACGGAAAGTAAGGTTGGGTAACAAATGCTGGTCTTCTACATCCCATGCAGGAATAAAAAAATGCAACAAACACAAACCATCAGCATGAAATTGTCAATATATGCATGAATGGCTGGTAATTTAGTGCCCTGCCATTCCACTGTATATCATGCTCAAAGGTCTTGTGGTGCAGAGGTAGTGACCCTACCTCTGGGCCAGAAAGTCCAGGATCAAGTGGGACTGGTCTCGGATGAGTCTACAGTGGTTAATCCATTCTTTTTCCAATCAAAAAAAGTATACAATTTAGTTGCTCATACAGGTATATCAAGAGTTTCCATCATCCTAAACTGAAAATAATACAATATCAGTCATTTTGAAATTAAGCTTTAGGATCATGTACTAGACAGCTTCCAAATAGTTTAAGTGGCTGCTCACCAAAGGCAAAACTAGAAGTTAGAATGGCATTTCACATAATTTCCACCGGTTAGAAAGATCACAAAAAAAAAAGAGATGGAGGAACTTCCTTACTTGCTTGACCGTGGAACCACCATCTCAGCTAGAGTTTCATAAGTCTTTTCCCATTCGAGATAACTTGTTCTAAAGAAGAAAACAATAGTGAATAATTATTAAATAGTTCAAGGATCAGGATAATCAAGGTACAATTGGCCATTTGACTGGAATCAATTTTTAGTTAAATTAGTTACTCAGATTACTAAAGGCTACTTGGAATTCACAAAATACCTCCTTCATAGCTTTCTTGTTGATCAATTACTACTTGCTAATTGATACAAGTTTGATAATTGTGATAGTTTTCAGCACTGAATCCATAAAGAAGACTTCCAGTTTACAACTAATTCAGTTCATAATGAAATAGCTGCTTTTAATATTTCCTAAATTGTAACATAATATAAAAACATCTTACTCATCAGGCCGTCCTGTACCTAATTTAAAACTACTGAACACCAATATTAGATGGCCCAATGAGGAGAAAAATATCAAAATACAGTTGTACGAGCATAACATGAGTCTCTACTTTCCTGTATGTTTATGAATCGTTAAACAACATTTCCTGACAAACATCAAATACTAGCTTTCTTGAAAGCTTGCATTAATGGATGTGGTTTCACCATAACAGCGCATTGTGTTTGAAAGAACAAAGTGACCCAGAATTTTTATTCCAACTCTAATATCATTTACCACTATTGTTGATGGTTTATTCAGGTCAGTACTTGCACAGCTAAACAGAGAAATTTAGATGATGCTGACCAGATTATCTTGCTCCTCCACATGCTACACTAAAACAGTACCTTGCTAATAAATGAGATAGCAAGAACTGCAGATGCTGAAGTCAGAGACAATACAGTGTGGAGCTGGTGGAACAAAGCAGGCCAGGCAGCATCAAACGGGCAGGAAAGTTGACGTTTCGGGTGAGGACCCTTCTTCAGAACCCCCTTCTGTCGCCTTTCCTGCTCACCTGATGCTGCCTGGCCTGCTGAGTTCCTCCAGCTCCACACTGTGTTGACTTCGCTAATAATGCTTGGATTTGATTACCAAGCTTTGTCGTGAAGTCGTTGTACTCACCCACTACTTCCCCGCAATATATATTACAGAAAAAGTTAGGATTCTTAAGCAACTTTTTAAAATTTTGAATCTTCTACCACTATCCTTCCAGCCAACACAAATCTGGATAACAATTCTCTTACTTTCATCTGGCTTTTTTTGCCAGTTATCTTAAATATGCGCTCTCTGATGACCAACCCAACGCCAGTGGAAAAAGCTTTTCCCCATCTATCCTGCCAAAATCCCTCAATTCTGAGGATCACTATTAAATCTTCCTCTAGTCCTCTGCTCAAAGAAGAACAATCTCAGTTTCTCTAATTTTCTTACGAGTGAATTCCCTCATTTCTGGGACCATTCCAGTAAATTTCCTCCGCACTGCATCTAGAACCTTGACATGCTTATAATTGAGCAAATTTAAGCTAAAGCAATTGGTAGTGACAGCCTCAAAAACAGAAATTGCTGGAAAAGCTCAACAGGTCTGGCAGCATCTGTGGAGAGAAATAAGAATTAACGTTTCGGGTTGAGTGGCCCTCCCTCAGGACTGACGGCAGCTAGGAAATGTTGGTTTATATGCAGAAGATAGAGTGGGGGGAGGGGTTAAGGAGTAAACAATAAAAGTGGAGATAGAGCCCAAAGAGACAGAAGAACAGCTGGACACATAAAGGAATGAATAATGATCTGGCTAGGTGGGTGAATAGCTATTAATGGGGACTGTTAGTTGCTAACAATGGGCTGTGTGTAATGGTAGACTATGTGATAACAAAGCCTTGGGTGTGGGGGTTGGTGTAAGGACATGGGAAAGCTCCAGCTCTAAATTTGATCTACTCAATACTGAGTCCAGAAGGCTGCAGGGTCCCCAAGCGGAAAATGAGTGACAGCCTTATTGACATGTCCCACCACCTTCAAAGATTTGTGTATGCAAACTCCTGGGTTGCATGAGCCCCTTTCAAAGTGTGAACTTTAGTTTTAATTTCTCCTTGCAAAATACATCAATTCAAATTCCTAAAGATGTTCCTGAGAAATTTCAGCTATTACCAAACATCTTTTTCACCCCATTTCAACCAAGCATTTTAACTTAGCACACACTTCAAAACATTTCTTGTTTTTGGAAAAAATTTTAAAGATTCTTACTTTGGGACAACTACCAACAATGTGGTAAGATATTCAGAGTCCATTACAAAGTCTTCCTTCTTCACAATATCAGCCAGGCTTCTTGTCATCAAACTTCCCCTGCAAATGGCCACACAGATCAATCATCACAAGTCAAATACTACTGTTCTCCTGGAAAAAAGTAATACATTGATACTTATAACTGCTTCTAAAAAAGGATGCAATAAAGGTTGAGACCATGGATGAAGCATTCATCTTTAGAACATCATAAAAGGTATAGTTCTATTCCTAATAGAAGTCAGACAAAATTGGCAACACATTGGTATAATTCTCTCAAATACTGGGGAGGCTGAAGCCATTGTTTTTGTTCCTGCTCCAAACTCTGTTCCTTAGTTACTGACTAGATTCTTTTCCCTGGAAACTGTCAGATTAAGTCAGTGTTCCCAAAGTTGATGTCACATTTGACCCTAGGTGGAGTTTCTGAACTCACATTGGCTCATTACTAATGATATTTTCACTTTAAACCATCAGTGGACTGTACCCACCTCAGCTCACCTGCTGCTAAAACCTTCATTCATGCCTGTCACCTCCAGACTAGATTTTTCAATCTATTCCAGACGGGTTGCCCACACTGTACCCTCCATAAATTTGAGGTCACCCAAAACGCTGCTGCCCATATCTCAAGTTGCAGTTAATCTCATTTCCCCACCACCTCCCCCACACTGTGCTTGATAACCTACGCTGGTTTTCACTAATTAACAAATTGATTTTAAAATTCCCAATTCTTGCTTTCCAATCGCTCCATGACCGTAGCTGTCCACATCAGTTATCTCCTGTAGCCACAGAAAATGTATATCTATAATATTCTAATTCTAGCCTCTTATGCCTCTCTAATTTTAATTGCTGTACCATTGGTGGCCATGCCTTTTGTTACCCAAGCCTCCAGCTCTGGACTACACTCCATTTTTCTATGCTGCTCTCCTCCTTTAAGATGCTCTTAAGATTTACATCTTTGATGAAATGTTTGGTCAATTGTACCAATACCTCCTTATATTTTTGTTTTATAATGCACCTGTGAATTGCCTTAGGAGGTTTTATTACATTATATATCTATATGGATACGAATTATCACTGTTGTAACTACTGAATCCCAAAGTAGTTCCATCATAACTTCAAATAGTTCTTTCATCGTAGTCAATCTCAACTACTTGAGATAGATCAATTCATGGTCTGGGAGTGAAAGAAGGGAACAAAAGAGAAAGAGTAAAAATACTTACAATTATCACTTCACAGGTGAAAATTAAAGGCAACACAATTCATTGTAAACTACAATACCCACATGAAAAATAACTTACACATTCTTCCTCTCTAAATTTTGTAAATTTCCTTTCAGATTGTTGTATGCTGATGCTCTTGCTTTCAGGTCATTGTCAATCTGAGATACTTGCTGCAAATTTGTAAAGCATATTTAACAGTTAATTGATGGTTTTGTTTGTTATCCAGAAACAGTGCACACATAAAACAAGTAAAAATAAAAATGATAACTTCTGTTGCATCTGCCTATTAATTATAACAAGTTCATTATGAAAACCTTTTCACAGACACAACGATTAATCTATCATGTTGTGTAAATTTCTCTGCAAAAGTCATAAATAATCTCAAGCAAAGTCTTTAAAGAATAAAATTCTAAAATCATAGGTCCAGGAACACTGGATCAAGAGGCAGTCATTAGGGCTTTCAAGTCTGTTCTGCCATTCAGTAGGATCATGGTTGATTTGTCTGTGGTCTCAGTTCCATTTTCCTGTCTGCCTCCCACAACCCTCAATTTCCATCAAAAAAAAAATCAGTTAAATTCAGTGACAAAGTCTCCACCGCTTTCCGGCAAACAGAATTCCACATTCTAATGACTCTCAGGAGACTTGCTTTCAATCAGTGTCCTGTAGTTCTAGTCTTCCCCCTTAACAAGGGGCATCATCCTGGTGTACATTCCATCACTTCCCCTCACAACCTCCAACGTTGCAATAAGGTCATCTCTCATCTCCAAATTCCAATCTGTCCAGGCCCAACCTGTTCAACCTTTCGTCATAGGCTAAATCTTTCAGAACTGCTTCCAATATGATTATTTTCAAGTAAAGGAGACCAGGGCTCCAGAAGGGATCTCACCAAGGCCTTGTACAGCTGCAGTAAAATATCCCTCCTTTTATATTCCATTCCCTTCAACAATAAACAGCTGCATTCTAATTACCTTCATAATCACTTGCCGTATGTGCATGCTAACTTTTTGTGACTCGTACTAGGATATCCAGATTCTTCTGTACCAATGAGATCTGTTATCTGGAAAGAACTATAGTTCGAGTATACATGAAAAAGACTGGAAAATGCCATTTAACTTAACAGTAATAATTCCTTAGTGCCGGCTTGCATATTAGCATCAAACTACTTTGTGAATGCCTTACTCTTTGTCTCAACCACAAGCCCACATCTGCTTTGTGCATTCTACACTTCATTTACCAACTTAAAGTTCTCAACATAATTTCAAAATCTGTCCTCCATTAGCACTGTGGCACCAACATGCCCACGTCTTATTCAGAACTCTTTTGCAATCCATAGCCTTCCCACAAGCCATTATCAGAATCTCTAGTCACCCCAGCCTCAAACCTCTCGTTTACTATCGCACCTCGTGGGGGGAAAAAAAAACTCATTGAATATCATCCCACTAACCTTTGTGCAGTCAACTATTTTGACTGAAGAAAACAGTGGAACATTGTCAAAGTTTGTTTTGCAAGTAGATGTTACAATCTATCACATTTTGTGAATATCAACGAGCTGGAAAGGAAACTAACTTAATAAACATATTATTCCAATAATGTATACTCTGAAAATAGTAATAATCAGACATAAAATGACTTCTAGTATAAACTTTCATTGTTCCAACAACTTTGTTTTGATTTCCCCACCAACAGAAACTTCACTCCGAACTCGGTGGGGAATATGAACGTTTTGTGCAATAAAAACTAAAAACTGCAGTTTTGAGGGGTTGCCTGTGGCTAAGAAAAATGCAAGTATTTGCTTTAAAATAAGAACACTTGAAGGAACTTGCCATCGAAATTTGAATACAAATTTGAAATATGATCATTATGCACAACAGAAAACTAAAAATGTAACTGAGCCTTTAAAAGAAGAAATTGGAAAACTGAAGAGCAAACCTGCTAACCTGACATCAATAGTGGCACAGAAATTGCTAGAATCAATTAAAAAGCATGTGATAACTGGACACTCAAAACAATAATAGGATTGAGCACAGTAAATATGAATATATATATGGCAGAAATTATGCTTGACAAATTTGGAAGTTTTGATGATGGAACTCGAATAATAAATTAGCAAGAAATAATGAAATGATGTATTTGGACTTTCAGATGGATTTCAATAAAGATCCTACACAGCATGTTAAGAAGTAAAATTAGTATTAAAAAGATTAGAGGTAATATACTGGCATAGACTGGTTAATGGCCAGAAAACAATAAGAATAAACGAGTCTCCCTCAGGTTGACAAACCAAGACCAGTGAGATACCACAAGGATCAGTATTTAGACCCCAGCTATTCAAAATCCATATAAATTACTTGTGAAATGAATGGGCAGTAACATGGCACATTGAATACAATGGAAAAACTTGAAGTTACCCATTTTGGTAGATATCCACTTTGCAGAGTATCTCTTAAATGACAAAAGACTGGTAACTGTTGATGCAAAAATGGAGTTCTGTACCCTTGCTTACAAGTCACTAAAAGCACGTAGGTCTTATACTTTAGGATTAGGAAAACAAATATGTTGGCTTTTATGAAGTCATAGAGTCAGAGATGTACAGCATGGAAACAGGCCCTTCGGTCCAACTCATCTATGCCGATCAGAAATTCTAAATTAATCTAATCCCATCTGCCAGCATTTGGCCCAGACCCTCTAAACCCTTCCTATTCATATGCTCAACCAGATGCCTTTTAAAATGTTGCAATTGTACCAGCATCCACCACCTCATCTGGCAGCTCCATCCTCTGCGTGAAAACACTGCCCCTTTGGTCCCTTTTAAATCTTTCCCCTCTGGCCTTAAACCTATGCTCTCTGGTTTTGGACTCTCCCACCCCAGGGAAAAGACCTAGTCTATTTAGCCTATCCATGCCCCTCATGATTTTACCCACCTCTATAAAGGTCACCCCTCAGCATCCACGCTCCAGGGAAAGCAGCTCCAGTCTGTAGGCCCGTGACCAAGCAGTATGCCACAAAGTTAGTGCTGGATCCACTGCTTTTCGTCATTTATATCAATGATTTGGATGTGAACATAAGAGGTATGGTTAGTAAGTTTGCAGATGACGCCAAAATTGGAGGTGTAGTGGACAGCGAAGAAGGTTACCTTGAAGT